GCGAGCGGCGGCGCGGCGGAGACTCGAGTGCCGTCAGCGACACCTGAGCCCTTGAAAGGGGTCGTGACCAGACTGTTGATGTTTTTTCGCAGATTTTTGCAGAATCCTGTAATTTTCTTGAAAAGTGCTTTCAGGCTTCTGTCCTGCGAGTAAAGGAGGGTTTTTTTTGGTAATGTTACATCTCCCGCTTTTCAGCGGGGGCATTGAGAGGTGGCATTCAACATCTCATGCCTCTTCTAGAAGCTCTTCAGCAAGATTGGGAAGAGCTTCATGTTTTTTTAAAAAAAAAAATAGGAGAGAGAGAGAGAGAGAGACTTAAAAACTATGCCCAAGCAGACGCTAAAAAAATAGAAAAAGATGCAAATCTAATTTAAGCAAGTCTATTGAACATGTCGTTTAACTTTTGATTTTTTGCACTTGAGGGGCATAGCCTTACTGTTCTAAATTAGCATCTCATGCACAGCTTCAGGGTCTTTTCATGATGTCCTTACTAGCTTTCTCTGGCAGAGCAGTGCTTTCTCGCACAGCCAAGCCATTCACCGAATGTCTTCTATTCAGCTAAAACACACTGAAGAAGTCTTAATGTTCTGCCTCTATTTTCTAGGTCGCAAAGAGCAAGGCCTCAGAGGAGAGCGATGCTCCTCCACCCAAAAGAGCCCACATCTTTTATGGCAGTTTGGAAGAGAAGGAAAGAGAGCGTCTTGCAAAAGGAGAGTCAGGCCTGCTGGGAAAAGAGGGCGTGAAGGCTGCAATTGAGGCTGGCAACATTAACATAAGCAGTGGTGAGAATGTTTAACCCTGTCACCTTTTGATTCTCGCTCTTGATTTTGACATATTCATAAGTCTCTCTGTTTGGGCTTGAGCATAATTTAAAATCAAGAACGAGACACCTTTGTCCAGCTGCCGTTTTCAATTTAACGGCTTCACTTTTGGTTTAGGTGAGGTCTTTGATCTCGAAGACCATATGAGCGAGCGTCAGGCCGAAGTCTTAGCCGAGTTTGAGCGCAGGAAGAGAGCCCGGCAAATCAACGTTTCCACTGACGACTCTGAAGTGAAAGCCTGCTTACGAGCCCTTGGGGAGCCCATCACGCTCTTTGGAGAAGGTCCTGCAGAAAGGAGAGAGAGGTGCTGTGCCCAGTCTTGCGTGTTGCTAACTGTTAACACTCAGCTCTACCCCATTTGTCAAATTCCTGAAATATTTCTTGTAGTTTGGGTGTAATGAACGCTGCTAGTCAGTGATGCTTCTTTATGATGTAGCAAGAATAATGGGGGTGAGGGGGAGAACAGAAGACAATGGTCAGACTATCTGACAGCTCACTGAGTGAATGTGATTTAATGTGTTTCTTTTCAGATTACGAAATATCCTTTCAGTGGTTGGCACAGATGCCTTGAAAAAGAGTAGGAAAGATGATGACAAGTCTAAAAAATCCAAAGAAGAGGTAATATTCTCTCTTTTTCTCTCTCCTTATTTATTTATTTATTTATTTTGGAGGGGTTGCTGCTAGCTCTTAATGTGGCGGGGAATATGTATAAAAAGTTTTTAGATACCTTATTTAGACGGTCTACAATAGATCCAGTGCTTTTGGTTTCAGTCAGACTGACAGTGAGGGTTGCAATGTATTTAAATCAAGAGAATTAAGTCCAGGTTGTACTTCAGACCAAATTACATGTTGCATATGGCGTATAAACCAGGAGACTGAGCATTGGGACTGTTACTTAGTAAATCCTTTATTGTTGATCATCATCTTACTCAGGAGGGAAAAAACTATGTTCCTGCCACTACATCTAGTTCTGTCTTTGATTCTTCTTTCTTTCTGCCTCTCTTTTCTGAGTCTGGTTTTTTCCTTATGATTTTGGAGGGTTGCTATAAGGAGTAAGTACAATTTCTGCAGCTCCAGGCTTCCTTTTTATTCCTCCCTTTTCCACATATCCAGTAAAATCATCAGCAGTAAATGGTCAAGTGAAATATAAGATTGTGTTCAAGCAGAATACACCTGTGGGGCATGGCAGTACACCAGGATCTCATTTGTAGGACAGAGAACTTGACTTGTCTGTGTTAAATCTCTTTTTTGAGGACTTATATTTATGCAGAATACCCCATTCAGCCCCTTAAAACAAAGGCCTTAAGACAGCAAGCTTTAAGAGAAGGTGCTGCGGTGGCAGTTATGTACGAAGAGGAGTTATCTAAGATGACTGAATGGAAGAACTCTTATCACATTAGCTTTTTCTTTAGTTTTGTTCTTTTTCTCTAAGTATCAGCAAACCTGGTACCACGAAGGACCACGCAGTCTGAAGACAGCTAGGCTGTGGCTTGCTAACTACTCGCTCCCCAGGTAAGGAAAAACAAAATACATGAAAAAGAGAGAGATGCAGGCTTCTGTCAAATCTAACCATTAATCCCACTATGGGTAATGCCAGAAACTTGAGATCAAGAGAACAGGGAACCCCTGCTGGTAGACAAACCCAGTGAGGTTAGAGTTTAAGTTCTTAGTAACTGCACTGGCATTAGCCCAATTTTAAGAAAGGCAGAGGAGAGGCCTGTTTCCAGCAGCAGGCCGGGGGAAACGTAGGGACTTGTTGCTCTAATTTTGCTTTGCACAGGGCAGTGAAGCGGCTAGAAGAAGCCCGGCTGCTCAAAGAGATTCCAGAGGCAACCAGAACATCACAGAGACAGGAGCTACACAAATCCCTGAGGGTAGGTTTGGCATCTGCTCAGCTTTGTTTCTTGACAAAAGAGATCAGAAAGAGGTCAGGTGCTAGCTTAGATCAGTCAGAGTGGCTCCGTCCCCCTCCTGCATGGAGTTGGAGTGGCTCTGGGGCAGCTCTTCCCTTTGTGTAAGTAACTTTCCAAAGACCTCTGTCTCCTCCTTCGTACACTTACCTATTTCATCTCACTTCTTGGCCAAGGCTTTTTCTACCTCGGTAGTACTTATTTGCCATTGTCTTTGTATTTGTTTTCAGTCCTTGAATAACTTCTGCAGTCAGATTGGAGATGATCGGCCGCTGTCCTACTGCCATTTCAGCCCCAATTCCAAATTCCTAGCTACTGCCTGTTGGTAAGTGTTCTTTTTAAAGCCCTCGCTTTAGAAAAGGGGGGTGGAACGTGACAGGAACGAAGAAGAGGGATGTTACTGGAGGTCTGTGAAACCTGAGAGTTCAGAAGTGCTCTTTGTTCCTACTCTGAACTCTGTCTTCACCCTGTTTTAAAGATTTGCAGGGATTCGAATCTGAGTCCGCTTGTCCCTGTGGCTGGTAGCTCCAAGTGTGCTGGTATTATAGCCGCTGCAGAAATCCCCAGTGTGGTTCTGCAGCTCTGTGTGTGATCTGTTCTTTGAGGTTCCTGTTCCTGTCTGCACTAACTCGAATTTCTTGTGTTCAACAGGAGTGGGCTGTGCAAGCTCTGGTCTGTGCCTGACTGCAACCTTGTTCATACCTTACGAGGTAGAGAGCATTTCACTGAAACTCTTTGCTTAGTTCTTTTGTTCCTCTCTGGGCTGAATTCTGCGTTGCTTTGTGACTCAGAAGACTATTCTAACAAGAGCATCGCTCAGGCTTATGAGGCGTGGGTGCGTGTCCTATAATCCAGAGGAAGTCCTGGCCTTTCCCTTTGAGATGAGGAAAGTCCTAAGCTTGTTGTTCTGTTTCTGAATGATGCTTTCTGTTTTGTTTGTTTCAAAACTCGGGTTTAGTTGCTTTGAGTCAAATATCCGCGTTCTTGGCCAGGTCACTTGAGAACACCAGTGAAGTTCCTTGCACAGTGGTCGCAACTTTGACTAAATACAAGCATGAGGGAAAAATCTATTCATTCATGCATGTAATTTTTCATCTCACTTTGCTTTGAGAATTACAAGCCTTGACTTTTGATAGTCTAAGTGGGTGCTACTGGAATTGCGGTTTAGCTTTTGGCAGTACAGATACGTCTGGCAGTCAGAACACAACTTCACCCAACGTAGGAGGACGCTATGGAAGTGTTCTTTGGTCCTTGACAGTAACAGTAACAAAAGTGCTGCTTTTCTGAAGGATTAGCCAAGATCTCATAGTAAATGGTATTTTTTTACTCTTTCCTTTCTTTTGAGGACATAACACCAACGTAGGAGCAATAGTCTTCCATCCCAAAGCCACTGTCTCCTTAGACAAGAAAGATGTTAACCTGGCCTCGTGTGCGGCTGATGGTTCTGTCAAACTTTGGAGCCTTGAAAGGTTAGAATGATACTGGACATGCAGTGCTGCAGCATTGTTGCTTGGGGTTTGTTTTGTTTTTTTAGACATCAGAAACTTGCCATCCTCCCGCAAATGTCACGTCATCTTGTAGTTTTATCAGAGCAATTCCTGGCCTCAGCATATGCCACCTTTTTCAGCATTTTTTTGGCAAACTGCTTTGGGCAATGGATGGAAAATTCAGAGGTTGTTTCATTCAAACCTTTCATCTGGCAGGAAGTTCCCCATCTTTGGAATCAAGGAATGAACTTTTGTCATTGCTTGGGCTATTAGAAAACACGAGTATTTACAGAGGGATGGACTAAATATATAATGATGCACAAAAGGTTCATCCCGTAATAAAAATGAGCGGCCCTGTGTCATTGCATAGTGTTAGCTTGTTTTGGAAGCTGGGCAGCGTTTACCTCCAGCCTGAGAAAAAGACAGTGGCATAGATAGCAAGCTCTAGCATCTGCATGTTTGAAAAACAGAGCCCTGCAATGTACCTGAGGAAACTCTTGAGATCCTCTGGTTGTAATCCTTAGCCCAGAGGCATTGTTTCTAAGGTTTTTGGCCTGGGAGAAGCACACCTGTGCCAGACAGATGCTTATTGGTCTCATGTGACCATGTCGCCTTAATTGGCCAGTTAGAAAGAAACTCTAGATGCTGTTCAGATTTTCTACTAAAGGCTTCTGAGCTGGTGCATGTAATTGTGGTAGAACAAATATTCATCCTAGCCTGCCTGCCAGGGATATAGCCTTGAGAATAGAGGGGTTTGCTATAGTTTGGGATGTGTTCTGTGTAATCACAGTAAAGCTCCCTACCCTGCAGTCTGTGTTTTGTTTCTGCTGTTACCATTATTAAATAAAGTGGTGCCTGGGATTCCTGACAGAGGTCAGGGTCACTTTCTGCAAGGCACTGCACACAAGGTAGATCTTGCTGCTCAGAGCTCACAGTTGGTTGAGAATGATATGACTGGGCTGTTGACGTTTAAATTGCTAACTGCCTGAAAATAATGAGGGCCTTGTTAATTTTTATAACATAATTATCCCAGGAGAGCTTTATAACAGGACGTGAGTGTGGATAAAGGGGTTTCACTTCGAGCTTTAGCTGTGTGAACAGACAGCATTACATACCCTTGGTAGTCAAAACTTTGGCTTTCCTGTCTTGTATGTATTTAAGTATCAGCTGGTTTACTGTGACTGTAATGACTGCAAAGGCCTGGTTAGCACCAGCCACCCTGGCCAGTGTCCAATGACTTGGTTTCTGTTTTTCAGTGATGAGCCAGTGGCAGATATTGAAGGTCACGCCATGAGAGTGGCACGTGTGATGTGGCACCCATCTGGAAGGTTCCTGGGCACTACCTGGTATGGGGATTTGGTTATTTGCTTTAAGACGTTACCATTAGCTGTCTAGCTGGTGAACTGATAGGCATCGCTGCCTGTCTGCAGGGGGGTCCACAATGGGCAACAGTCGGCCATTCTTGACAACAGCTTAACCTAGTCTGGGCCATTGCAATGTCAGAAACAGCAAGTCATTGGGAATCCTGTGGGACCTCCTTTCTCTGCTCCTGATACGAGACCCTGTTGGTCTCCAGCTGGAAGTAAAATGTCCACGGAGTTAATGAACCAACCTGTTCTTCCCCTTGGAGATTTCCAGCTGCCAAAGGAGCAGCCCTCTGGCTGCCACTGACTAGCGAGTGAGTGTAGGACAGGTGATGCGGTGAGTGGGTCAGTGGTATGGGACAGATGTCAACACTGATGGGGGAGACACAGTGGAGCCACTGTGCTCCGCTGAAGCTGAGCAACGCATAGATGATCTGAAACGCTGGCTCCAGAAGCAGAAATGGATGCTACTGCTAAGTGGATTTCGATGAGATACCCACATTCTTATTTGCAGTTAAGGATGGTGATTCTTATAAATTATATTGTTCCATTCTGTTCTCTCTTCCTTCAATTTCAGTTCTAAGGGCTTTACAAAATTCACAGAAGCACTATCTACTCTTGTGTTAATTGTCCTGTGTCTGTAGCTGGCACTTTGTATGGCTTTCTTGAGGTCAGCTGGGCACAGCAGTAGCAGCTTGGAAGGGAAAGGCATCAGAACAGGCCACGTGTGCTTGTCATACAGTGTCTCTTAGCCTGCCCGCAGACAGTGCCACCCGTTGCGTGATCTCTTTGAGGTGGCAAGATGCCATGTTTGTGTGAAACTAGAGAAGCTCCCAGGTCTCCGAGGGACATGCTGAGGGGTGTAGTGCTGAGGATTTCTGAGTTTTCAGAGTGGACTGGGTCATTCCTGGCCATGTCTTCCTACACAGCAGACCAAATTTTGGACCAACCCATATAAACGTGCTGACAGCTGTTACGTGTGTGTCCAGTTCAAGCAGGATTATAAGGTTAGATTGGAGATCCGGAAAAATGCATTTAGTTGGATAAATGCCTTGTTTTTACAGCTATGATCACTCATGGCGCTTGTGGGACTTAGAAGCTCAGGAAGAGATCCTCCATCAGGAGGGACACAGCAAAGGGGTCTACGACATTGCCTTTCACACAGATGGGTCTCTTGCTGGGACTGGGTGAGTTCTTTGGTCTGAAGACTGTACGTGAAACATTACCAAGGTTTTGTGGACTGACTCCGAGCACCCCAGTGATTGTGGTGGTGAGGCTGAGCGTGTCCTGACAGTTGCTGAAGTCTGTGATGAGCAATGAATGAGTTCTCTCTTCACAGCGGGCTGGATGCTTTTGGCCGGGTGTGGGACTTGCGCACAGGACGCTGCATCATGTTTCTAGAAGGCCACCTGAAGGAGATCTATGGGGTTAACTTCTCCCCAAACGGGTAAGGAAGGAGCTTGCATGTTTTATGTGGAAGCTCTGAGTACAAACACCGTCTTCCATGAATATGTCCTTCCTCGACCCTTTGGCAGATACCACATTGCAACTGGCAGCGGTGACAATACTTGCAAAGTATGGGACCTCCGTCAGAGGAAGTGCATCTACACCATTCCTGCCCATCAGAACCTGGTGACCGGGGTGAAGTTTGAACGTAAGCATCTCCTCTCCCGTGTTCCTTATCCCTGCTTTTCCTGAGCTGAGATGGCAGGGGATGGGCAGTACATAGAAGAGTTTTTAGTGTTGATATGCATGGGGGCAGCTCAAACGCATCTTCTGGGCCTGTTCTTGTTTAACAGTAGAAGGTTTTTCACTTTTTTATTTGCAAATCTTACTTCTCCCTTTTTCTCATCCTCAATTGCAGCCAATCACGGTAACTTCCTGCTCACAGGCGCTTATGATAACACCGCAAAGATCTGGACTCACCCTGGCTGGTCCCCTTTGAAAACACTGGCTGGGCATGAGGGGAAGGTGATGGGACTGGATATCTCCCTCGATGGCCAACTGATAGCGACATGTTCATATGACAGAACCTTCAAGCTGTGGACAGCAGAATAGCTCAGAGTTGCTGATGAACTGGAACTGAGATGTTAATGGTTTTGAACTCGGACATTTTTGTTTTTTTATATTAAAGGAAAAAAAGGAATCGGCTATCGTAACATGCTGTAGTCACTGGCTGGTCTTGGTTTCCTGGTTGAGGTGGTTTTGAAGCATCTGTGTGTGCCAGGGTTTGGTTGGAATCAAAGCCTGGGTGATGTTTTCACACTTTTTAGAACTTTCTTTTTACACTCTGGACATTGTTCCCCTGCTATAATTTGGAGATGAACCATCTACGCACGTGCATCACCTTGCCTCCAAGCCAGTCTCCCAGATTTTCTCCAGTCTATTTTTAAACATTTGTAGATAGCCATGTAACTCTTCAAGTATAGTGTGTTGAACAGCCTCTAGTAACATCCTTCTTACCTTCTGTTTACCAGGAGCCTGTGGTAGAAGTCTGTGGCTTCAGACTTGATACTGGCTGTCAAGAGTTACAGGAAAATGGTACCCTCGTTCTCCTACATCTGTAAAGTTGGCCTCTGAAAGTGGAAGACTGTATCCCCTTTGTATTTACTCACAGTAGATTTTAGAGGCCAGGGGATTTTTTTTAAAAAAAACTTTTCATGAAGCGTCTCAGACTATCTTATACCCTAGCTCTTGGAGCTGTCTCAAGAATTAGATGTTTCAAATTCATGTAGGTGTCTCCTGTTGTAGTTGTTGCTGTGCCTCACCTGAGGTAATACAGAGCAGGCTATTTCACTGTAAGATTTTCTTGTTCTAACTTGCACTGTGAGGAACTTTCTCTTTTGTTGTTTAGACTTTAAATTGAAGTTTTGCAAATGTGACATTCTGAAAAATCAAAACGTGTTCTGAATATGCATCCTAGCTTCTGGGTTTGACTAAGGGATGGAGACATTACAGGTACTTCACAATTCACACAGTTCTCTATCTGCTATCTTAAAAAGTCTTCAGGAGAAAAGAGAAAATTTTCCTTTGGTCACCTGGAAAGCAGCTGTCCATCTTCCTTGGGAAGATGGAACACAGTTCTGTTTTCAACCCTTGACTTAATGCATTTGGGGATCGTGTTGTTCTAAGAAAAAAAAAAACCCACCGGCGAGTTGATAGTCTGCTTTGCTGCAGTATCATTGCATCCCCCCTTCTCACAGAGGGGTGTGGGTTTCTCCTCCCTTCCAGAAAAATGCTGGCATCTGCTGCATGCCACTTTTTAGTTATTCCCAAGGAAACTGTAGATATGGGACAAGAGGCCAGTGAATAACAAAAGTATTTAATTGCAATCTCCTCTTGTGTAATAAGCCTAGATACTCAAGCTACCTGCTCACAAGCCAGTTTAGTAGCTCCTGAGGGCTCTACTAAAATTTATTTTGCTGCCTGAAGATCCATCTCTGAGCAATGAGTATTTGGTCAGTGCTATTGTAAATGAGCTTACTCTGCACAGCCCAGGCTGACCTCACTCGGCTGAGGGTGTGGAGCTGCACGGCCCAGCCTGCCTGCTGCGAAGTCATCCCCACACCAGCTAGGCTGGAGCCTGAGAGCTGCCGTTTCACCAGCCTGAGGTGTGACTGTGCTTTCTGGCTCTCCTGAGGCCCCTCTGTATCGCGGTGTAATGATTCCCTCCGGTGTCCGGGTGCGGCTGGGATGGCCCGTGGCACCGATGCTCATCAGGTTCCTCCTGTGTGATTCTGGCTGGGGCTGGGAGGCTTTGTGGGGTGCAGAGCAAGGCCTCTGGGAGAAGGGCAGGACCCTGAGAGTGTGGAACCTGGCAGATTGTAACAGCTACTGCTCGTTCTCCAGCAGCGTGACCCAGGAGCCCTGCTGCGGGGCTGGAGGTAGCCTTCCTAGCTGTCCAGAGCGGGGAGAGCTCCCTTACTTAGCTCTCATGCAAGAGGTTGGGCACTCTGGGCTGTGCCTGGTAGTCACTGTGGCTGTTCCCAAAGCGCGCTGCAGTGCGTGGGGCTTTGAGGTCTCCCTGGGCAAGGGAGGTCCGCTAGGCAGGCTAGAAGGCTGGGGCATTTCTCAGCAGGTTGTGTTCACAGGTCAACCCAGGCCGAGCAGTCACCCAGCAGGCTCCCGTGCAGGACAGCAGAGAGCCAGAAATGAGAGCCAGGGGGTTGCAGAGAGCCTGCTGCTTCGTAGCGCAGCGCTCTGCTTTGAACCTGAGCGCTCTCGGTCCCTTGATGTGTAAGGACGTAGATTATTTGTCTCCTGCAGGCCTCTGAGGCCACCATGCCTTGAGCGGGCTCCGGCTGACGGAGCCTCAGGGAAGGCTCCCGTGCAGGACAGCAGAGAGCCAGAAATGAGAGCCAGGGGGTTGCAGAGAGCCTGCTGCTTCGTAGCGCAGCGCTCTGCTTTGAACCTGAGCGCTCTCGGTCCCTTGATGTGTAAGGACGTAGATTATTTGTCTCCTGCAGGCCTCTGAGGCCACCATGCCTTGAGCGGGCTCCGGCTGACGGAGCCTCAGGGACGCAGAGCAGCGACGCTGGTTTAACCGGATTCAGGGCTCCCTGCTTTCTCCTCGCGCTGATAGCTTAAGTCCAAGGCTGCTTTCTCCTCCCATCAAAAACCCGCTGCCGG